ACAGTCTGTGATGAATACTACCTTTAAATAAAATCCTCATAAACTCCAAGCTACTTTACTATATGGTGGTCATTAATGACGTGCTTCGAGTTGGATACCTTGAAGTTGTAATGAGAAGCCGTGACCTGCGTAGTCAACCAGTTGGAAGTCAAACGAGTGTCAAGTGAAGACGTTGGAGGATAGACGTCCTATATCGCGAATTGACAGAAGTAAGAAAATGTGGACCATTGGACATTGATCCAGTGGCTGCGTAGTTAGCTCATTCACCATGAAACCTGGAGGTTCTGAGTTGTATCCTTGGTAGGGTTGTGGGTGTGTTCTCTTGAGGGGTTCCATACTGGGACGAAGCATCTGTTCAGTCCTCCCAGGTTCTCAATGGTTTCCTAACTGATGTCAGTCCATGATGAACACTGCTTCAAGACAATAATAAATGTTGGGTCTCTATGGTCAACAGGCAAGAAGTCGTAAACTTACTTTTCCTGCGTTTTGGTATTCATCAATAAGGAATATGTGCAACCTTAAGAAAATTCGTGTTCCATTCAGGCTTCAAACATGTGTAGTTCAACGATAAAGTAACGAAGAGAGAGAGAGAAGCAGACCTTGAACTTGGTGCAGAAGTGCATGAGTTCAAGTTGCCACACTTGACAAGGACACAAAGAGATAGTGATTAGAAAATAAATAACCTTGAAATAGGGGTAATAGTGAATGGTCAGAGAGAAAGGAAATGCATGAGAGTCAACAAAAATGTTCGTAACTCGGAAGATAAAAAAATCTATACATTTTCGCCAGCGTGACTGATTTTGAACCGGATCACTAAAATTTTCCAACCGTTGATTCCCATCAGCCGGCAGCATACACTCTTCATGTCATATCTTGGTTTGACCACTTTTTGCTTTGTTATCTTACTTCAGATGTTCAGGCTGCGAATGACTTTATAGGTTATGCACAAGGATTTACCACTGGGTGATAAGCAACATTTAGAGCTGTGGCTCAGTGGTTTAGGCAGATAACTACCAACCATTGGGTAATGGGTTCGAATCCCACTCCATCTACCCAGGTTTTTATGTAGCCACATAGCATCAATAGCCCTTACACAATAGGTGTGGCTCATTGCCCACTGCACGAATGTACACAAGGTAGTTGAGTTCGTTTCATTCGTTCGTTCGTTCGACAAATAGTGTCGTTTTCAAGTCCTTAATGTGGACCGCAGTTTACCGACCAAGTTTGTAATTAGGCAACTAAGCTAAGTGACATGACCCAGCAGTGTAATGCATTTCGGGTGTTAAATGTTGGGAGTCAGTCGTCAGGTGGTCCTGATGACTACCAAAAGCATGAAAGCTGAATAGACATCTGTTTCCGTACCAAGCGTTACTCAGCTGAATTTTACTGTTGAATAGTAAGATAGTCATATTATCAAATTACTTTTTAAAGACACAAAATTAATCCAAAAAATCATATCCAGGTCGATGATCTGAATGAAACTGTTCGGTTGTATACTGATAAATAGGTAAGGTGGGATTTACCTAGTGGTTGGAAAATTCACAAGGTCATTCAACCACACCCCATGACAAAACACTTCAATATATTATTCTGTGAATAGGTGAATTTCAGTCAACAGATATTCACAATTTGCGTTGCTCACTCAAATTTTAGGTTGTGTTTATCTGTGTGCAACATTGTTGAGGGTGACAAGTGAACTTTCCATCCTGTCTCTCTCTCACTCTCTTTTAAAAGTAAAACAATTTCATTTCATCTATCACCACTACTACTACTATAATACTATTACCACCATTACTGATTTTGACGACATATGCTTAAAAAAGGATTGTATAAAAATTGATGAAAGGTAGAAGTGAGGTCAAAATTAAATGAATCATACACTCGAAGCAGTCATATTGGAGCATAAAACGTTTTGTGCATATCAAATTAGTGTTAGCCTATTAAGTCAAACGGAAATAAGAAAAAACAACTAAATTCCTTTTACTGATGGATAGTGGCTGGCAATGGAATCCAGAACGCAGGTTTCCCTCTGTTTGGGGCTCGCCAGCTGGATATGCCTGCCTCCCAGTGAGCGATATTGTTCCCACTAGTGGATAATGCCCTGGCGTTCGAAGTAATCAGTCCCGAGTTCGAGTCCTGGGGTAACAACACCGTTCACTAGGAAGCAGGTACATTCAGCTGACGAGTCCAAAATAGGACGAAACGCGCGTCCTAAATTACACTGCTAGTCACTATCCATCAATAATCTATAATTCAAACACAAAGAATATTGAAGCATCCGCACAGGAGCCCATATGCTAATAGAGACCGATCATTCGGCCCACTCAACGACGGGATAATGCAAGCAGCAACATCGAATACCCTTTAAATTACACATATCCTGCAGTGTGTAAAAATTACTGATGTTTCAAAGGAGTATGCATCACGAATCTGTATCACCTAACCAAGTAGTGGAAATCACAGAGAACCGAACAACTGTAGTATCCTCAGCGGTGCACGTCCACAACTGCATGTGAGATCGTACTGAGTACCATCATGTCTTACAGTGAACACGTTACCACCCACATATTGGTTCTGAATTCAATAGTATTCGTTTTTCTATTTGTATTAGTCTGTGATATAGCACAATCATCATTCAATGCTGTCGACGTGTATTTGTCCGCATATCTGACTTCCTAGACCCCATGGGTCTTGGCTTCTCACTAGACCTTCGGAAAGTTCATTTCGAAGTTAGTCATTGGCAAGTGCTAATAGTCTTTAAGAAAATGGAAATTTATTTCGTAAAAATAATATCAGCGTGCCATGCAATATCCTGAATAAGGCAAACACAACCTAGTTATGTTTCACATATCCTAAGCCGTGCCTATTGGATTCAGTAAAGCGATAACGCAGATTGAATAGAGTGGACTAAGGGGTGTTTGACTCCTACGTGCCTGTCGGTGTTTTTGAGCCAAGGTTGGTCGTTTTTTTCAAATATTCAATTTATGTTATGAAATACTGGAAGAGTTTTAAAGTAGTCAAAATTAGATATGATACCAACTCATAAAACCTTGAACCATTAGTCTGATCTATTTTGAAGAACCTGTAGATTCACTTTGTTGGTTCCAACTCTGTAGGCTGTTTTGAGGTTAGAATAAGTATACTGTGATGCCAGTCATTTGTAGAAGTAATTTTAATAACAAAATTTATTCTTGCATCTACTGGTGATAGAGTAATTCAATCTAACTTAGCATAGTGTCGATTGAGTTGAATATGCATCTATTTTTTCATACCTACATTCCACTTACTGGGGTTTGGAACATCCAAATGTTATGAAACGTTTATAGGTAGTGTGTTTTAAGATTCTTCTGCTAACTATGTTTGTACTGTCTTGTTTTGAAATATATAGAGATGTGGCTCATTGACTCAAGCATTTGACTTCTAAACAAACTAAGTTCTAGGCTGAAGTCCCTCTTCAACTATTTCAGCCTGAGCAACTGGCTAGTATTATAAACCCTCACATGAATAATAAGTATAGTTCACAGCCAACCAGGTAGACCGGTAAATAGTTCAGTTACATAATATTTTGAACTTTGCTATATTTTTAGGGAATTTATTTTACAGTGTTCAAGAATTTGGCTATCGAGTCATTTTATGACTGCTTAAAGTGATAAATCATTGCGAAGAATTGTATATTATACAAGTAGTTTGGTTGGTTTATTTGATACTTTATCATGCTTAAAGTAGATCAAATCACTGATATTCGGTAAATGGATATAGATGCAATAGTAGAGTTTTAGGCACTATTGTATATTATACCTGTTTATTAGATAAATTGTATTCGATATTAGGACACAGTGATACGTTATCCTCTACTGATTAATGTTTAACGTGAACAGTAGGAATGATTCAACGTCAAACCTGAATATGTAGAGAATTCTACCATCATTAAAATCGAAGAGTGAATTGTAGTAGAAGTATTTTGATCAGGTTAGAAATTTTGTAATAACGTTGGTTACTTCTACAAGCAATAAATTCTGTCTTATGCGTTAATCAATAAGTGATTCTTGCCCTCGTACCCCAGTGGTCTAGTGGAAGCGATGAGTACTAGGTTTGAGTCTCGATGGAAACAGCATAGCTCACTGAGAGGTAGGTACATCTACTGCTAGCTACCAAACATTGGAATATAATGAGTAGTAACGCAGTATCAAGGCATCTGTATAGGAGATCGTTTGCAAACAGAGGTCGAGCAATTTAACCCATTGTAGCAATGGGACATTACTAATATCAGACGACTGTATCACTATAGTCTATTTGAAGTGGACATATTTAATATGCACAATGTTTACGTATTTAACTTTATTCCTCTTCTGCATTTATAAACAAAGACTCATTCTGTAGATGTCAGGATAAAAGTTTAGCGTGATAGGATAATAAGTTGAGCATTGGATAAATGTTTTTCTTTATTCACTTAAATCCAATTACAAATACACACGTATACAAACATTACTTAATAGTTCACTTCATCACCTTGAACTAATTGATTAGTAATTAATAATAACAACATACCTAATTATATTTTGTATACATGTATAACTTGTGCACATTTCATTCTCTTAGGAAACTGTTTTCACAAAGCTGTGAAATATCATGAATTTACCTATCTATTTTATTTCAATTTTACCAATGTAATTCTTTCATAAAGAGTGATATTTTGTCATAGATCGTAGTGAATTTCTGTTGTTTGCTTGGTGACTACTCGTGGTATTAGTATTCTATTATTTTGTCATTGAGGGTAGTGTGATAACATCAGAAGTGAGTAATATTTAAATTGCATAATGCATTTCATCTGTGACTGTTTGTTTCGATTTTATTAATGTCCAAGTAGATTTAACTAATGAACCTCAATAAGGGAAAATTATTTTTTTCAATTATCATCACTATATTTAATTTTGTTTTGCTAGACAGAAATCAGTATCACTAAATCTCAATTATGCTTCCTATCTTTCTTCAATCACTAGCCACTGAAATCAGATGATTGCATCACATACAAAGATGACGATTTGACTGAAGGGAACTACCTAAATTCTTCTGTTCAAGAGCCTTCTATTACAGGAATTCTCAAATTTAATCTTTCTCCTAATAATACTGTTGAGTTTTTGATTTGTGCAAATAAATTGGCTGTCAAACGGTGTATTTCATCATTGGACACAAATTCAATCATCGATAGTATATCATCATCGGAGAGAATGAATATTTGTAAAGCAAAAGAAAATATAACTGAATTAAGTTCTACTTCCTCATCACTACCACTTACTTATCCACCAACCTACTATAGATCTTCTGACTCTGTAATAGGTGAGTATATTTTAACCTTTAATTAAGATGTTATTATATTAGTTGAGGCTGATAAAGAAAGATCAAGAACTAGTTTGTTATAATGCATACTTCGTAAGCCAATATTTGTCAATATCTATTTGCTTACTAATTGAGTAAGTCGATTATTTGTTACGAGATTCAAACCAGCACTCTTCAGAATTTGATTGTAGTCAACATTTGCACATCCTGTCAGTCAGTTAATAAATCAGCCTATCTGATTTTTGTTGTTTGTTGTTGTTTGGAAAGACAATGATAGATGCGTGAATAAACCACCCGCCTCAGGTAACGCAATACAAGCAAGATAAGTTGTCGGTCATTGTGACCAACCACTCCACCCCACCTACTTCAAATTGGTTGATGATGCAATATCATAAACACTCACAAAAGATGGTTTATAGCCAAGCGTACGTATCAGGTTACTGAGGTACACCATTTTGTGGTTATAAAGCTGATTAGGCTGCCATTAGAATGGAGTACAAATATAACTTTTTCATTCAGTATAAAAAAGGGAGTAATGAAAATGCGAAAGGCGTCAACTACAAATTAAACTCTACTCTGATGAAAGTTTATTTGTTTGTAAGTCTTATTCTTCTACATCAGACAAACTGTTGACTGATGCTCACAGGTTGGCAGTTCCCATTCCATTGTACTTCCAATCCCCTCTCCCAATCCACATGTACATATACATTGGAAGAATAGGAGAAATAATCTTATATCTTATTCAACAGCTTGTTCCACAGAATTTGTTTTCAGCAGGATAGTCACCCAACATCTGTTTTATAGTAGGGACCATGTTAATGTTGAAAAAATTGTCCAAAATGAATAGCGGAAAGGCAGATTTAAATTCATTGCTAAGTGATCTTGCTCATACATCAAAGAGTAAATGTAATCATGCATCGATTTAGGTTGTTGTACACATGCATTCTATAAACATAAAGATGTAAAATCAACAAGAATAGAAGCTAATCAAGTGTGCAATAGAATATGAAGCTGAATATATAGGACTGACTTAGTGTTGTTCGCCACTTAGACAAAGATAATAATTGCATCAAAACTACTGAGAACAATCTTGAATCATATCATTTAAAATCCTGGATTTCTTTTGTCTAGTGAATCGTATTCTGTAAGCCTACACCTCCCTATATTTTTCACGCTGATAACCAGTGACATCAGTGCTATTTTTTGATCTGAGCATTCATGGTTTTTTATTCCACCTCCACTTAAGGCGAAATAATATAGCCAGGTGGTTTGGTAATGAGCGATATAAACTGAATGTATGGGTGTCTCAGCTGTTCTGAGTCCTATTAGTTATTATTCTTAGTTATCAAAGAGAAGGCGGTTCTTAGCTGATAAACTTATGTATTTCCAACTGAATAAGCGTGTTGTTTGTCGTATTTTGAGAGACTACAGTGGTCTATCTAAGCAACCATTAGTTAAGCAAACTGTGGTTTTAATCTAGGCAGTCGATTTATTAACCACTAGATAAGTTCAAACTAGCTTCATTCATTTTGATTTGAAAAATAGGAAGATATTTTTACTTTCCATATAGTAAATGTAGTTTATAAACTGATACACCATACTGTAGTTGGTTGCTGAATCCGATCTGCACATATCGGTCACAAAATTTTATTTTACCTATCCTAGGTAATAACGGAAAACTGACTAGGTAGATTTGTGACTCATTGGTCTGAGTACTTGACTTCTAACTGGTGGACCACGGATTCGAATCCCTCTCTACCTACTGAGGGATGGCCCATTGTTTAGTGCATGGATATGCATGTGGTTGTTGAGTGCATTTTAATTTTTTAGTGGTAGGGTGTCAGATTTTAGTACTCAGTGATGCACGTTTGGATCTTTGAAAGATTACGGAAAAATCTGTCTATTGGTTGCTGACAAACACAAAACGCAGTCAAAGCATAGTATCCTACTGACTGATCCTAAACGAATAAAACCAACATTATTGGTAATTGTGCACTTATTCTCTGTTACAGTTTGACTATCAGAGTTTCTGTTATTACAACTATAAGCTATTGGATTAGGTTTCATACTTGTTAACAGTCATCAGGAAGCCATCAGTATAGCTTCCAGACAAATAATGTTCCAAGGGAACATTGCCGAGACCAAACAATTTGGCCTTATAAGTTAGTCCAGGGCTGGTCGTACTCACAAATGGTTTGCATGTAAAGATTTATAACACTGAAGTATATGCTCGTGGACACAATCAATTTTTCATAGTTTAATATCTCATTGTAATTCTCATTGCAGTTTAAAAATTCTACTGAAAAACAGCTTTTAGTTTTTTGAATAATAATTGTTAGTACCAGAAGTTAGGATGTGTAATCTATTCTGTTTTAAACTTATTGGGTGGATATACTAATCGTCTTGAATGTAAGCCTCTACACTGTTAACCACTAACACTTATCAACTATCGTGATCATAAAACTGACTGTATTATTGAAGTCTGTGAACCAATAAGATAAACTGTTTTGGTTCAGTAAGTCAATACAAGAAAGGCGTTTGTAGTTGCTCAATTAATGATTTTTTTTCCTTTTCAATTTTCTACTGTATTAGTTTCTTCCTCATCCTCCTCAGTGTATTCAAGCAAGCATAATCAAAAGATTGATACTTATCGAAAAGATTTCAACTTTACATCACATGATGTTGGTTTATCATCAAATCCATTTGAATATCACGATCGTAGTCAAGATGAATTACAAGCTGCACGAACAATTCTGTCGTTGGCTCATGGAAATAGTGATATGATTTTGAATATGGGACAAATTATGATGGATTTAGATAATGTACCAGTGGTGAACAGTAACTCGTATGAATCCAATACGCATAATATTGATGCTGTTAGTAACAGTAGTATAAACGAGTCGAAGATATCAGGTTAGCTTATTTTCTAACAGTTTTTATCCATACAAATGAAATGTCCCCCGTTTTTTCTTTTGTTAAATATAGTTTTATTTCTCTACCGATGAGTGATTGAATTATTAATATGCACTTTTTATTTTACAAAAATCTAAGCTTATTTTAAAATAAAACATGCAACTAGGTGAAGACTAGTTCTTCAAATTTCAGATTAGTTCCTATCCCTAAGGTATTGGTTTATTTGATGTGACTAATGGTACTAGTGATTCATTCATAGTAGTATAGTCCATGAAGATCATATGATCTAAACGGCTCAATTTTTTTGTCGGACTTCCCCTCCAGGTGTATTGCTAATGAAATGTATATTAATTAGGACAAGTACCCTCAGGTATTCGGCTGACATAACTTCAGGAAGCGTCTAGATAATCGTATCTATCAGTAGTACACAATATATTTCGTGCTATTGATTTCAAAAACTAAAGGAGTACGGCACTTACTAGATGAATCGATGAATTCGCTTCGTTTTGTTACTTTTCATCTACTATATGCTGCAACCTTAAGTGAACAAAAACAACATGTAGATGTTCAATTACAACCTTACAAAAGAAGTATTGGTGTAAAACATATTAAGGATAAATTATCTCACACTTATAAATTATGCAAACAGTTTTTCTCGAAAAGACAAGAAAGCAGTACATCTTGATGCAAGTACTTATTATGTTTATTTATTAAAATGCAAACATGATACAGCGAGGGCACCAAGAAATGCGCCACACAAAATAGTTTAGCAACAATATAAAGACATAAACAATCCGAAGTGGAGAAGTAAGAAAGGAAAACACTAACAAGTGGCATGATTAGAAGGGAAATCCAGTAAGGTGAATTAGAAAAAAAATATTTATTGCCTTTCAGCAGCTGAAGATAGAAGGAAGCTATAGCATGACCGTTCCTGGTTTCGATTCTCAACCATATCTGATGACATCTCAAGCCATGATCTCTCGGAGTCCACCCAGTGGAATATGATTAAAACTACCGTATCAGTATCCGAAAATTATCTCGACTGAAATAGGTATGATAACTAGCTTTGATAATTCTGAAACGGGTTTCTATATAAGCATCGGTTCGCCTTAGTCAGAAATGTTAGAAGTGTCACTACTAGTCTTTCGAAGTTTGAATGAATGATTACCAGAATCTAAATGTTATGTCTCATATGTACTGAATACATACTGAAGTGTCCTGAGATAAAATTTAACAACTAACTTTTGTTCAAATTTTATTCTTTTTCATTACGAACTGGCATCAGTTGTATTCTTTTTTGAAGAAAACTTTCGTGAAGTTAGTCAAATCATGACAAACTAAGTACCTAAGTTTCCCCTTTTTCCGCATTCATATACTGGTAGTTACAGAAGTTACTAAGGGATGTGAACTATTAGATGTTTATCAGTTTGTTTACGAGTTAAGTGGGAATCACACTGATTCTATAGACGTATTGTTCAACCAGTCGAGAGGAAAAATATTTGGTTTTTACTTCAAATAGTGTCCAATGGTATCAAGGTGCTATCTTCAGTTTTAGCTAAAGCAGTTGAAATATGCATATTTCAATTACTTAATTAATTTGCTACTTGCTTCTATTAGAATTTCATTTTTCGCCACTTTAAGTGACCAATATCAGCCTAAATGTAATTTATCAAGGTTCTGGATGTTGCGATCAATAAACAGCTCTAGTCCAACTAAACAGTTTATTTGTCTAGCATATACATAATTTAGGTCAGCACCCACGCACTTTTACCTCCACAACAACCAATCACATTTAAGAAAATTAGCTGAAATATCAGCCAATCAAGCATCCCTGTTTTCGTTAGATTTTTACATCAAATATTATTATTCGATCTATTATTTTAGCAAGTTAAAATTCAACCCGACATCTAAAGTAACAACTCCGGAAACGAATGATAAAAAGTTATTACGTGGTTTAAATTCTTTCCGTTAAAAACTGAGCACCTACGTTTAAATACAATTAGATACTTAGTTGGCTGTTAACTGTTAAATTTAGGTTTTTAGAATAGATTCTAACTGACTGGGTTGTATTGTTCACACTATGCAAATATGAGTTTGATGGATATCAGGTGGTATATTTATGTACTGATTCAGCGTGGGATAAAATTAAGTGTGGTTTATTCACAATATCGCACTGTTGATGCGCAAAGAAGATTAGTTCTCCTTCAGATTTCCTAATATAAATCAGTACTCACACAGTCATTGTCTACTCTTTATTGATGTTATAACTCTTATAAACTGAAGTGTTGTGGTTGTTGTAATAAGAAAAGAAATGATCTTAAAAACTTTGGCTTAATGATCTCTACAAATACCTGTTTCTAATCATCAGTGAGTAAGTAGGCACTTGAAAGCAATGCAATTTTATGCAACGGTAAATGATTGTACACTGGTATACAACATATGCCTTAGTAAGAAGTTTAACATTTGATGTACATGATTTTTTTTTAGGTATAATCCTTGGTACGAGCACATATTCCCATTTGGAGCATTAGGTAGTACTGTCTATCCATGTAATTAGAAATTTTACATCCATTTCTGGTTGTTTTTGACTCGTATTTCCTGAAACATTGGAATGCATAGGTATGCTTTTTTCTTTCTACAAGAATGCAGGAATTCTGGTAGAGATTCTGATATTCAGCGCTTAGAGGGGATAAGTTGTTCTATATGAAGTCAAGCCGTTTCAGTGTTTTACTTGACAGGCTAATCGGAGATCCGTGGGTGTGAAGCAACTGATCATAATCTGCATTACACAGATCTGCCTGTTTTTGATCAGTTTCTCAACGGATAAAAATACAAACAACTGAACTGATTAGTAACACATTCCAAATTCCTCTATTTGATGTACTAAAATTTACAAATCCTATGGTTTAAATAGACTATTTTTATTGAGAGATTTTTCACTTTTATTTTGTTTTACGATTGTGCCTAATTTTCTGTAATATACTGGTCACTGTAACATATGTTGGCTATTTACTTCAACTTTGAATGTGTTCTCACAACAAACTTGATAACTTTCTCTGCAAGCTCTACAGTAATGAATCCATAAGAATAGATGAAATAAAATAGCCATTGTAAAGCATACAGTATTGATAACGATAGCGCCTGTAGAGTCATTATTGAAAACAATGTCTTGCCCAACATATTTTTGTTTTGAATGATATATGTGGATTTTTAAATACCTAATTGTAATTCATCTATGTTTAGGCGATGAAGTTGGCCAGAATTCTCATTGGGTATCTGGAAAAATGGTACATAGTCTACAAGAAGATGGAGTAGACGATAGTTCAACCACTTTTACTTCATCTACCACCCACCCAATAAAATCAATCAACCAATCAGCTATATTATCAGATAATGGTGCTGTTCAGGAGGGAATTTCGAATGATTCAGATGTATGTGTTTCCCTGGGAAACACTAATATTGATAATAATGATACTAATAATACCACTATTGTCATTACAACCTCTGGTAATCTGACGTCTACTGCTGTCACTGTTATCACTACCACTTCTGAATCTCCAAAGTCTACGACATCAATTCAATCTACTTCAGATACATGGCATCCAGTCTCTAGTTCACAGAGCAATAGTAATAATAATATACTACAGAGGAAAATTCGTCCACCACCTAAGAAACGTTTATCGACAAACTATTCTCGATCGAATTCATCTCGTTCATTTATGGATAATACAAGCCCACCAACAAGTGAGTGAAGGGAAAAAAGTGAATTGATGTTTTACTTCACTTTTGATTCAATTCACTTGACTATTTCCAAAGAGATAAAATGAAGTAGAAGTAGGTTTGTTATCGGATGAAACAAATTGGTTTTGTTTTTCTGTTTGCTTCTCTTCAGCTTTTACATTGTCCGAGATTATTCAATAACAGGATTAATTTGCAAATGATTTACAAATTGCACCGTCAAAGTTGATATCTCTTACAGCTGAATAGTTTTTCAACTTCGAGTTAGTATTCATCATGGACTGACATCAGTTGTAGGAACACTAGATAGCTATTTCGTCCTAGCATAGAACTCATTAGCAGTGCACACCCATGACCCCGCTAGGGATCGAACTCAGGACCTTCAGGTTCGATGGCCAGCATGTTACCATTGAGTCACTGGATCGGAATCTAATGGTTCATATTTTCAACTTCTATCAGTTTACGACATAGCGCGACCATTACTGAATGTTATTGTTGAGTATTTGTCCTCATGACCACCAGGTTTACCTCACTGGTCACGACTTGTCATTGGAACTTCAGGAATCACCCCCGAAGCTACTCAACGATGATTACTAGATTAATTTAATTGAGGGTTCGTGGGAATTTGTTGATTGCAAGTTGGCATTCATTATAGACTGACACAATCATGGTTGTGCACTGCTGAAGAGTCCCATGCTAATGTGAAACAGCTGTCCAGTGCTCCCATATTTCCACTGGTTCTCCAACTGATATCAGTCCATGATGAATACCGACTTGAAGTCAATCAGCCCCCACAAACCCCAAATTGGGTTTTTTCAACTGCCCAACTGTGGTGTCAACAAGGTTTCCACTGGAAACCGCTCAACTAAGATCACAAGGTGTAATCTCTACCACAAAACTGTCATGAACTAGCGAAAGATACTACTACTGAACAACTTGAGTAGTTGAAAACCACTCTGGCTGGTCTGTAGATTTCATCATCCAGATCAAAGCGATCTAAACATTGAGGGATCATTTTGCTCATTTGGAGCTAATCTCATCAGTGGTGTACCTGGACGTTTGAAAATTGATCATCCTTTTATAGGTATCGTAGTCCATGCAAGTCACCTAGCCAGTCAGACTCAGGTGACCTGAACTAATTCAGCTATATGAGCTGGATTTGTCCGAGTACACTGTTGATGAGCTCGTTTCATAGGAGGAAAACGACCGTCTGGTGTTTAGATCATTCTGATCTGGCTGATGAAATCTACAGGTCAACCTGAGTGGTTTTTAACTACTTAATTTAGTCAGTAGTAGTAATCATCCAATGTTGTAATCAATAACGTTTTGATTGATGATAAGGACGAAAGTGGACAATATTGAATGTTGGTAAACTAAGGGATACGAATGCCTATATGGAAAATTATGCGTGCTACCCATGACATAATTTAAATTTGGTTTGGAACAACAAAAAACCGTCGCCCGTACAGTGTGTAATACTGACTGATGTGAACGACGCGTGTAAATCATTTTCTTTGCATTTCTAGCACCGTTATGGATGTAACTTATATCAAACTGTATAATATCTATGGATCCATTCGTTTGGGCTTTATCTAGCTGCACGATGTTCCCCATGAACTATGCAGAAAACTGGTTACCTTAATTTGTCTCACCAGTTACACTAGTGAGAAGTAGGTACTTGGATTTTTATGCAGTGTTCGCTTCTAAGTATCGATATCGAGTAATTCATTCTAACACTTATTGACTATGATTTAAGTTATACAGGTGACTGATATAATTGTTCCATAATACGCATGCTTCTTAACTGGCACTGTATACCTTGTTCAAGTATTGGATGATATCTGAACGCATATATATATATATATATATATATATATATATATATATATATATATCAGTTTGACTATCTGAGATAGCTGTGGTTTGCCAGACTTGTATAAATGCTGGGCGATAAATGAAGGTCAAATAAAAGTCTGGCCAGCAGCTGGGTCTCGTATCTCAGTTGGTAGGGCACCGGGCCGGAAACCCGGTATTCTCTGGTTCGAACCTTGGCACAGCCCGAATTTCCGTTTCACTTTCAATCATCATTCAAAAGATATATATTAACAGAGACATTAAAACCTCAGGTATTGTAATTAATGGTAATTAATGCTAATTACCATTTATTTGAAGAAGAAATGAAAGCTTCTGGGCAGTCGTGGAGTCAGGTTAAAAAGACTGCAGAGAACAGAGTGAAATGGCGACGTGCTACTGAGTCCCCTATGTTCCACTAAGAACCCATGGGACAAATAATAAAAATTAATGTATTTGAAGTGTAACTCATTAACTGGAAAAACCTACAGCTGGATACTATGCTGCAGTACTGTTCAAAATGATTTGCTTTCTAGCAGAAAAGTCAAAAGAAATAAGGAAAGAGTGGAAATTAATTTTGAAAAAAGGGACTCGAAGGGAGAATTGAGAAACAACACAATTGTATGAGTTTGAATTGACGAAATTTTCCAGAGTTCATCAAAGGTATTATGATTGGTATCAGATCTATAGTGTATGGTTTCTACTGTTTTGACAACCTCAATCATTTTCTTAAAACTGTAAACAACTGCTGGTGTTTTTTTTTATCGAGGGAAGGGGAGTTGATCCAATCACTATTGAAGTATTTTACTGCTAGCTTCTGATCCATTCAACGTTAGGCGATGATCAATCACACTCAACACAAATCTCAACCGTTTCACTTACTGTGTGTTCCTCACTATTACAGTTCCTAGTGTGATTTGTTGTCATAAACGTTGAAAATGCATACCGTTTTAAGCCACTTATTTGCTTCTAATACCTTCTACAATGTTTTTACTACAATTTATAATGAATGAGGCAAAAAAGAGGGAAGAAATACTTGAGTCGCATTTACGACACAGCCTAAAACTTATCATAATGGAATTATTGTCGAGTTCCTTTAACACTGTTTGGTAGTTGAAATATTTTCCAGTGACTTTTGTTTTTTTAAATTTCAGAACTCCAGGACAATACTAGTCAAGCAAAGACTTCATTTTCTCCGCCTACTACTGGATGCGAGCAGTCGATTGTTCCACAACCGACTAAACAAATGATTAGTATATCTTCAGCATCTTTATGCACTTCAACGGATCATGTTGATACACTAACTAGTTTCCCTTTTTCTTTTTATTCCTCTCCCTCTGCTCCCACTACTTCAGGTGTGGGATTACTTCCTACTCCTATACAACTGACTAATGTGGTCTACGGTAGTCATAGTCTTATTTCACCACACAGCACATCACTGACTCCATTTATTTCTAATCAAGATCTTACATCCCACCACCATAATCCAATGAATGCATTCGCAATGGTTTTCCCTTCTCCAAGAACTATTGCACCGACATCACCAACTATGAATGGATCTCAACCACCACCTAGTTTTTTCATATTACCCCAACTAATGGTTTTGCCTAGATTTGTAGGCTCTTATATACCAATGATATCTGCACCTGAACCATATCCAGCTATAATTAATCCTAATCCGAGTTCAAGTCTAACTGAAACACGATCGTCCACCTTTATGACAAGTTCATTGGTAACACCTATACCTACAGCTCAACCAGAATTTTCAACGAATCAACCAGTTAGAACGATTATCCTTCAGCCACCATCAACACAGATATTCGGCATTGATACAAGTGCTACAGTCACTCAATCATCAGACGACAGTCATTTAAAACCAATTAGTAATTTAAATGATGAGGTGAAAGAGGCAAACACAGTCGACTTTAATGTACTATCGTTACAACAATCTGTAAGTTGTTGGTGATGTATATCTTTAGAAAAAGTAAATTTCAGTGTTATATTTATCTTGGTGACTAGCAGTAAAATCCAAGACATGCATCTCGTCCTATGTGAGACTCACTGGTCAACTGGATGTGTACCTGCACTCCGGTGAGTGATGTTGTTCCCACTGAAACTCGAACTTAGTGTCCATCGCTTCAAACGCCAGTGTTACCCACTAAGCCACTGAGGCACAAGAGGCACTTCTTGTGTAACGGGTATCAGTTGTTGCTTTAATATATGTATTTTCCCGTCGCTTTACAAGGCCGAGTCGCTCGACCTCTGTTGGCAGGTGGGCTCCTATGCGGATGCCTCGGTGCTACGGGATATTCAGAATGTTATATTCATCTTGGTGACTAGCAGTGGAGTCCAGGCTCCTCATTTCGTCCTATTTGGGAGGCATCAGCTGGATGTACCTGGGCCCCAGTGAGTGATGTTGTTCCCATTGAGACTTGAACCCAGTACCCATTGCTCCAAACACTAATTAAATTTCTGTTTTTTCCTGATGTTTCTGTCCTACGTTTTCAACATACCTCACAAATCTTGTGTCGATGCATTTTGTAGATCATCAAATGTAGCTTTCAATGTAGCATTTACCAGCATGCATATATATATATATATATATATATATATATATATATATATATATATATATTACAGTCTCATGTCACTTCGCTCTTAGTAGTCAATGGAATATTACTGTGGTTATTATCTAGCTATCAGTACTATGAAGGAGTTAGTTAGTGAAATGAATAATTCTCTCGTAAAGCAAACAATGAATTGTTAAACCATAAGTTTCTTTAACGGCGAGTAGATATGTTAGGCCAAATCTATGAATGGGAAAGGTAAAGTATGCTAATCCGTAGTAATAGAAATTCTACAGAAAAATGCAAAATAAAATAGTCGCGACAAAGAACAATGTACATACAAGAATAATTTAGAAAAAGATAAACAGTGTATAGTTTTTGTCCACGTGAACTGATTTTGAACCATACTGAGCAATCTTCAACTGTAGACGCTGAAAAAATATACAAAGTTTGTGACGATGGCTTAGTGTCCTCTGACCTTGGATATTTTATTGTGGATGTCTTTTCGGAAGTTACGAATCTTTTCAATCATTCTATAGAAGTTTATTGGTATTCAGTCACAATTTTCTTTTAAGAATCCCTGAGTAGCTTTTGAATAATTGAGTTAGTCATACTGAGGTTAGGAGCCCAGTTTTCATCAAAGTTAGTTAGTTAACGAGGTTGCTGGCACGTTTTTTTACACATCTCACTCTTCTGGTTCTTTACTGCAGTTGACACCACTATGCCTTAGCTCTTTTGTTTCTTTTCTTGTTTTGATCTCTACTCAGTGTACTCATGCGGAGTGTGTCTATTAAGATCGGTAGTCTGTTTTATTGGATCACATAGGACTTTTCCATGTATGTTTAGTGTTAATTTTGTTTTCACTTGGTGTTCGAAACTTCTCTTCAGGTTTTCAGTAAGATCTCCTGACCACTAACTAGTAGTACTTTTATTGCACCATTCATAATGTGGCTTGGCGCTGTGGCTGATTGGTATAGAAACTTGAATTTCAACCGATGGGTCGTGGGTTGGAATCCCGATCCATCTGCCGGGGTTTGGACAGCCAGGTAGTATCAGTATCCCTCCCATAATAAATATAGTTCATTGTCTACTGTACAAACATGCATTGGGTTGCTCAGTGCTTTCCAGTTTTCGATCTATAATGTCTTCGTTAGATTTTTTGAATTGTAAATCATTCCCTGGATTATATGTTGAATGTATACCACTTTTTAAATTCTCAGGATACGTCTTTGTGTTCAGTCAAAGATAAAATACTGCCCCCTACAGTAACTACTTTGAGTAGTCCGATTTACTCGAAGAAATCGGAGTTCACTAAATGCATATGGAGTGGATTAAACACTACAAAACCAGGTGAGTTGAAAACCATGTTACTGAAATTTTGTAAATTCTGTACATTTTTCATTATCTATAAAATATCTATATTGATCTTGTTGTTAATTTCAGTTATATTGTGGGGATGTAGTTCATTGGTTTAAACATTGTACTTACAACTGCACCATATTACTTATTGAAACTTACTCAACCTACTTTAACCTGGGCAATAGACTAGCATTTTTATTCCTAACACATTTTAGTGGGTCATAGTCTGAGACTGATACCTTCACATGGTTACTGATTTCTGTACAAGATAATCATTCGATTTTGTTAATAATAAATTCAGTAATATATATAAACTTTTTGCACAGTGCTTGTATACCATTCGAACTAAATTGCTTACAGAAGTGCTTAAAACCCTGGCTGTGGTTAGGAGTGAAACGCCTAGAATAATGAATCAATAACCCTGACTTCACTTTAGCTATTTTATGGTGAATAAACATTTATATATTTTGCACCTGTTTACCGTTAAGCTAATTATTCATGATTCGGGCGTAAATAACTATTATTATGATTGTTTATTAAATACTGTCTGCTTTAACTTAGGTCATAGTTATAAAAGAATTACTTACTTGATGGGGTTTCGAGCACAACTTGTTTCTCATAATCATATTAATATGATCATACACCTTCCAGAACATGATTTTCGTAGTTATAGTAGTTTTCTTTCTTCAATTTTATTCGTAGTAGAGTCTTCTATATATCTTGTATCGGTGTTTAATCAAACTTGATTCGGTGAACAAAGTTTCAATGACCAAATCATTTCTTCACTTAACTACATTAGTCTTTGCGATTGATATTCTGTCTCACCCTATTGTTTGATTGCGTTAATCCATGCACAGCAGTGGCTGAGTTATTCCTCAGATTACTCATTTTAGTAAGGTCTGTTACTTCACGCTTGGTTAACTTCTTATTATCTGCTAACCTGACTGACCCTGGTTGGTTAGTTTGAATTATGTACTTGACTTCACATTAATTGGATGATATTTGGTAAATTGAATTATTTTGTTGAATCCGTTCAATAGAATACTTAAGCTGGAAAAGTTTTTCTCTAAACAGGTTTGTAGACTTGAATGCCATTCCAGCCCTACTGAGAATTCTGTATGAGATTTCTGATGCCCCTTCTGTATAAGAGAACACTGCAGAGGCCTTGGTTTTCTTTGTAGTTATATCGGAATCACTGTTCATATCATTACTCCTATTCTTATGAGTCTCTATGAATGTCTAAATAAATCTTTCAGGATAGTTATTAAATCGTAAAGTCTCGCTTCTTTATTTATATCTTCTGACTCACTGGTTAGACGCCTCGTTTACTTCAACACTCAACAGAAATCTTACTCGAAACATTATTCAATAAATAAGAATGTTTCAGTATGTCCTGTATCAAATACACTAATTTAATCTGGAATTTCATTGTAGCGCAGTGTCGAAGTTCTGTTCTTATATTAAATTCATATTGTATTTGGTGATCTTGCACCATTGGTGCAAAGACAAATTTTGATGGATTAATAGCTCGCATTGCACTACTAGAGAACACATTCACAGTCGATAGTTAAAGACTTTAGATCATCTAGCTTGAAACCGGTCATCACGATACGCATTTATGTTTATCATATCTCCCTTTTAATCTTATTTCCCTTCTCTTACATTGCTTCTTACACTTGTGTCTCCTAGTTCTCATCATTGTCGCTACTGTCGTTATTCTTCTTCTGCATGTTGATTCCCTTTGATGTGTCTTATCACAAAATGTAGTAATTTAAGCTAGTTCAAACACTCCGTCTCTATCTCTCCAGACTGATCAAGAATCGAAAGGCTAGATCAAAGTTTATTGTACCAACTCTGGGGTTCAACATCCCTAAGATTGACTCTATGGGATACTTTTGAGTGTCCATCTCTGGAAAAGAATCATTCTTCTATCTGACACTTCTTGGTTTTAAATAGTTTTTTTACCAACATAGAGTAGTTATCCCAAGTTGCCTTCATATTAAGTAGAAATGCTCTGGTATACTTGATGAAGGCGTTTTAATGGTATTTTGGTGAAATGACGATTATCGCTATTATCGATAACAGTCCAATTTATGTCTGTTGTGATCTTATATAGAAAGATAGTTGAGACTATGATATCTAGAATAAGTATGTACTTTTCTAATTAGTGTATGTGTGTGTGTGTGCATCGATTATGAAAACAACTTATGCTAATATTATGTTACAATCTGTTCATTCTTTGTGTTAGTTCGCCGCAGCTGTAAACAGGATTATGTTTAATCTCAGTTACATATCAAACAGAAGATGGTATGATTAAGTGACTGAACTCTTATTTGTAGTCGTATGCGTGTAAGCGGTTGAATTGTTTTGTATATTTATCTTCAAGCTGTTTTGTATGTCGTAATCCAATATCTTCGTGTATTTATGTATTAAGTTGTTAGTCGTACTTACTATTTTATGGTCACGGTCATTCGACTTATCCTTCTATTGAGTTTAGATAATTGAGTTGATTGATATCTGGTAAACAATCGTTAATTATTAATACAGGAAGCTGAATTCATGTATAGCTGTTATTTGATTCATAAACTGCATACGAATCCATGTTATGATTTCTCTCATATGTTACCACTTTGTAATATTATTCAGCTAGTTGTTTTGTTGGAGATCGATTAATAATTAGAGGATGATTTTCATCATGGACTAGCATTCCCTAGAGACCCATCAACAGTCAGCTAGTATGGGACATATTTCCATTTGATTTAAAAAGTTTCACCCATATGTGAGAGTGAAACTATGACTTTCAGGTATTCATGAGGTTCTATTGAAAGGAAGTAACTTATAGAATCGGTCAAAATGGTAACCCATGGAATAGGCATTATACTATATTACTAGTTGAATGAATTTAGGAACATGAAACATTGATTTGGAGATGGTAAAGAATGTTTATACCACAGAAAGATAATTTTGATACTGTTGTATTCAGTAGTTCTAGTTAAGGGGTTGGACATAAAGAGTGCTATATCACTAAAACTATTACCTTCCAATCCAGTGACTAGGATGGATAACGTGCTGGCTGAAAACGGTGAGTATTATAAGTCAGATCCTGAATCTCTGAACATGCACTTCACCTCAGAGTTTCAAAGCAAGACGAAACTTTTGTACTTTTCTGCCTGTGAAAACTGCCTTCAAAACACCATTGGTATTGCTGATAAATATGGCTGTATGTTCTAACTTTAGACATAATATTCTGGGAATCAACCATGACTGATTTACTGACCCACTGAATATTTTTTTAGTAACTAGTACAATAGCGTATCTGTCATACTTTCCACATGTGAAAATCCTAAGTGTAGTAACCTGTAAAGATTTAACATAAAGTTATTCAACAGATAACTAGAACTGGAATATGTTAGTGTGTTGTCACTATAAATGGAATCAATTTGGAGCTGTCCTATTTAATGCCCCTCAACCACTAGTTTATTATTACCCAAAGGTTTTAACTAGAAAGCTTAAATCCCCTATACAATGAATGTCAGCGCTCAATGACTTCACAGTTGTATTCTCTAATTTTATATTTTGATATATCCAGCCATAGTGTTTATTTAAACTGTTTTTGCACCAAGAAAGATAAGATTATGAGGTCAACAACATTTGACTATAAATAAGCAACGCATTTCCCTATGGATTCAGATGGAGATGTTTGTTTAGAATATTTTGGTTGCTAATAGGTTTAATGAGTTTATCTGTACGGGGTACTAATTTGTACTCATTATTTTCACTGTTCGTGATCATTCTTTAATTCTACTTCTATGTCGTTTATTCGGATATTTAGTAATCATTGCATCAAAATCTCTATTTTAAGCAGTTATGGTTCAGTTTACTGTTAGCGGAAAGTTAACGAAAAAAATCTGCATAACCCATTTTAACCAATGTTTTCTGCATGAACCCTTGATGGGAGAATGTAAACTGCCTTTATACCAAAAATGCTAACCTTGTCAGAATTATATTTGTATTAAGAAACATACTTATTATGATCTTGTGATTGGCATGTGTATCTGTTGGTGACCTTCAAAATGAGCCAATCATAAAGTTTGGAATGTTTTACGATTGTTTCATTTAACACTAAACTTGTATACACACAGATGCATTAAGGGAGTTGTTTAGAATTTTATTTTATTGAATTAAAGCTATTTCTGAAATACCAGTTATTACCTACACTAGTAATGTAGAAGGTGGTTAAGGATCGCACGATGATTCCTTTTTGGTGACGGAATCATCGTCATTAAAACTCGGGTTTTATGGGAGTTGTTTGAATGATTTGGACTCTAGTTATTGACATTCCTTCAAGGAATATAGGCTTTGACTGTGACTTTCTATTTGAACCAACCCAGTCATAAGGTGGAATATGAGATCACATATTAACCCAGTAAATTATATTGTTTTACTGCTATATGTCTAATAAACCGATTAAAGCGAGTTTACACTTTTCCTATAAATTAAGGAGGCTATAGACTCCCGTCACCTCTACGGACAGTTCTGAATACATTCTTCAGGAATATGTAATCAATTTGTTTTTATTTCGGCTTCACAAAATGCTTATTTTTTGAGCTAATTACTTCTGTAGTTGCTAAGGTTATCCTACTTTGAAATCCTATATAACTGGAGTGTGTTGGCAGTTTAGCTTGTTATTCGAACATGCTGGTAAAGTGAAATATGAAAAACTTTAGTAGAAATCTTTAATACACACTTTTCCCTTTATTAACTTTAAGTTAGCAGAAACGAACCGCACAGTAGAATAATATAGACCCATCTTTTTATTTCGGTGGTCCTCATCATCTACTTACAACCTAGGATATTTGCAATAGCAATTTACAAAAAAACATTAACATGCTTTGGTTCAGTGAGTTCAGTCAAAACGTAACGATGATGTAGCGAAGTAGGGAAACCGTTCAAATTGAGATGGACTAAAAATGCCATATAGTGATGTCATC